CCCACCCACCCAACCCAAGGGTCCACCTAGCATCTACTGTCCAGGCCCTGGTCCCAGGCCTCTTCCTTTCTGTCTTCATTTTTACACGTAAAACTTACTGGGAAAGTTTCATTTAGAACTTTGTTTTAAAAAGTGCCAGGGCTTGCTATCCTTTTTTTAATTGAGTCAGGGTCTCACTCTGTTGCCCAGGCTGGAGTGTGGTGGCATGCTCATGGCCACCACAGCCTCGAACTGCTGGGCTCAGGTGATCCTTCCGCCTCAGCCTTTCAAGTCGCTGAAACTACAGGCACATGCAACCATGCCCGGCTAATGTTTTTTATTTATTTATTTATTGATTGTAGAGAGGAGGTCTCACCAAGTTGCCCAGGCTGGTCTCAAACTCCTGGGGTCAGGCAATCCTCTTGCCTTGGCCTCCCAATGTGCTGGGATTATAGGCTTGAGCCGCCGTGCCCAACCAGAGCTTGCCTTCTTAAAATAGATGGTGCAAAATATTGTTTCAAATATTTCTAACAAAGCCAGTTGCAGGCGGGGACGAGAAGGAAGGGTTATCTTGCTGGAATACTGAGTATTTAAAAACCAAATATCTCTCCCCTTCTCCTGAACCTGGCTCCTGGTTTCTCATGATTTTCTTCCGGGCACACTAAGAATTAAGACCAGATAGCCTTCTATAGGTAGTTCATGCCTGCCTGTGCTTAGGTGAGCCAACTGGCAAACTCACAGGGCAGGAGAGATCTAGCGTTGTCCCTGGTCAAGGCCAACCCCTCATTTTGGAGGTGAGGAGACAAACCCAGACGGGTGACCACAGAGCCAGGCAGGGGCAATCTCGAGCCATGCTGTGTCCCTCACCCAAGCAGGCTCACTGCTGGCTCAGATGGTACCCGAGGACCTGTCCCCAATGTCCCTCGGTTCTGGCCTGCTCCTGGGTCTCCCGTGGGATTGTCGTTCCTGGACTGTTTTGCTCCCAAGGGTTTTTCCCTGTTCACTCCCCTTCTGTCACTGCAGCCCGACTGCCCTGCTTCTAAAAACCTTTCTGGTCCCTGCCAGTGCCCCACTGGGCCTCAGTTCACCAGGCCTGGGGAAGCTGAAGGCACAGCAAAAAGCAACCAGAGAAAGAACTTGTAAAGGCTCAGCTCACTCCATGACCTGGAGCTTCTCTTCAGGATGAAAAGCACTTACAGAGGGGCCCTCAGGAGCAGAGACTAAGTCCCAGGGCCTGGCAGCCTGCCCTGCCTAGCCCAGTCAGCGTTGCTCCTTGGTCCCCTCAGAGCAGCAGATAAACGTGAGGTAAGTGAAGAGAGAGACTGACACCAGGTCGGAGCTGGAGGGGCACGGAGAACAGGCACAGAGACTGCCCTACAGAGAAGACAATGTGCACCATCGTCCTGTGTGCTTCCTGGCCCTGGGACCCTCCCTGTGTGGGTGACCTGGTGGCCCCTAGGGGCTCACTCACCCGATTCCTCCCTGACTCCCCAGCATCATCTATGTCCCGCTGTGTGGCTTTTCGAGTGTTCACAGTTCTGAAGACAGACGCTTTATTATTCTTCTTCCTGATGGATTCCATCAGAAGCTTAAAGAATCTAAACGAGAAAAAACCCAAGTCACCCTGGGCCGTGCCAGCATCTCTGGGCATCCCTTCGTTTCGGCAGCAGGAGGCTGAGGGAGTCCTACGGGGATCAACACTGGAGCTGGAGGACTGTCCTCTCCAACCCACTCACTTTCCTCCTTGCCAGATCTGAAGAGCGTCTGGCAGAAGCAATGCCAGCGCCACAGTCCTACAGGCCTGGACTGAACACGGGCTCTGCCACTCGGAGGGTGCGAAGCTTTGAGTGACGGAAAGCTCCCTTGTTTAGAAAATGCGAGTTTTAATACGCATCGCGCAACCTGGTTTCAACGATGAGAAACAGCCCTGTGTCCAAGTCCCTTCACAGGTCACATGGGGGCTCTGTCAGTGACACTCGGTGCTGCTGTGGCCAATGCCTAGCGGGGCAGGCAGGATCTGCTACAGGAGAAAGGAACCCAGACTGGGTTAGGACCTTCCCCTGCCTGCCACTTGCAACATCTCCAGCAAGGGGTGCGGCTCAGGCCTGGGACTCCTTTGGTGTGGGCACCCCGACAATGTGATGTGAGGACAAAGACTTCAGAAGGGTGTATCAGAGTTCCAAAGGGCAGGGATCACCTGCTTTGTGGCAATGAGTCATGTCATGTCAACAGGCTGGACCCAAACCCATTTGTTTGAGTATGTATGTATGTATTTATAAGACAAAGTCTCACTCTGCCACCTCATTTACGTAGTTGCTTATTTACTTATTTTAGAGGCAGGGTCTCTCTCTCTGTCAAAACCTGTATTAACTTATTTTAGAGGTAGGGTCTCACTGTCGCCCTGGCTGGAGGCAGTGGCATGATCAACTGAGTTCAAGCCATCTATCCGCTTCAAGCCTCTGAAGTAGTTGGGGCCACAGGTATGTGTCATCGCACACATCTTTTAAAAAAATGTTTTGTAGAGATGGGGTCTTGCTATGCTGTCCAGGCTGGTCTAGAACTCCTGGGCTCAAGTGATCCTCCCACCTTAACCTCCCAAAGCACTGGGATTACAGATGTGAGCCGCTGTGCCTGGCCTGGAACCAAACCAAGCCGGGCTGGGTGGCTCAACCTGTAATCCCGCGTTTTGGGAGGCTGAGGTGAGAGGATTGCCTGAGCCCACGGGTTCGAGACCCGCCTGGGCAACTTGGCAAGACCTCATCTCTACAATAAATCAAAAAATTAGCCAGGCGTGGTAGCGCACGCCTGTAGTTCCGGCTACTTGGAAGACTGAGGCGGAAGGATTGCCGGAGCCCAGCAGGTCGAGGCTGCAGTGGCTGGGAGTGGCCACTGCACTCCAGTCTGGGCGACAGAATGAGACTCCAACTCAAAAAAATAAAAATAAATAAAAGAGGAGACCTGAAATTCAGAACCTGGGGTACCTCTCCTGGCCCCCTGCCCCCAAGTCATCTATTTCTAGGGTCCTTTGGAGCCTACCCTCTTCCCTCAATGCTGGTTTTTTCCTCGTGGGACCTGTCGCCTGTCCCCTCCAGCTGGCTATGACAGCACACTCACAGGGCTGCTTCTACCATGGGAGGCAGTAGGTCCCTCAAATGTTCAGCCCCCATCCTGTATGCCCTGGGCGCTTATACTGTGCCCATCACAGGCCAGCCCTGGGGACAGAGCAAGGATGCAAAGCTGTATTCCTGACCCTCAAGGAACCTGGAGTCTTCTCCTAAAAAGCAGGCAGGTCAAACGTGCACTCCTTTGCTCGTCAAAACCACGAGCATGCCACTCTCTCTCCCCAGGATTTTTTGACTTTTTAAACTTCCCTCACCTGGGTGCCCAGCCGGTCTCAATTTGTGGTGATGTCATGGCTCTGAGACACCTCTCCCCAGTATTTCACAATAGGCCTCATCCACACCAATCTCTGCTGACCTGTTCGGAGCTGTTCCTATCCTTCAAGACTGGGTCTGTGTGTACATTAACTTCTCCAAGAAGTTCTCCCCGATGGCCCCAAATGGGAGCCCTTTCTACCTTGGCCACCACTTTGGAGACCAGGACTGGTGGAGAACGTGAGAGACGGTGAAAACACAGATGAAACACCCAGAAGTCCGTGTCAGATGTGTTACCAGTGTTCCAGAGCTTTCCTGGAGGTGCAAACAACTCGCCCTTCTGTGATTTTGCCAAGAGCAAGGGAACTGATGGCCCACAGGGAACGCTTTCTGAAGGTTGTGCTGTTTGTCAGAATGTGACAGCTAACATGGAACAGGAAGGGTAGGCAACAGAAAAACCTCCTACCTCCCATAAATAATTACAAAGCACATGACCCAACTGTTTCCGAAACACCTGGCGACAGTCCCACCACCTGCTGCTTGGAAAGTCAGATTCACAGAAGCCACAACTGCACAGGCTGTCAGCTTGGTCATTTTAGAGGTGAGGACCAGAGGCCAGAACTTAATACCCCTGACTCCTAGCTCAGTGCTCTGTTCACTTCACCTCCCTGGCCACCTTCTAGATAATTTAGGGATCTTGCACACTTGTATGTCTGGCTCTCCCCTGGAAAGTGACTCTCCGGTTTGTTCTTTTTTTCCTATCATCTATGTCAGAAGAGTCTCACGAGAGAAAGACAGGAAGGGAGAGAAAGACAGGAAGGGAGAAAAGGGGAGAAAAGACAGGAAAAGGGGGTGGCAGTGAGGAGGGGAAGGGGATGGGAAGGGAGAAAGGAAGGCGGAAAGAGCCCCTTGGGGGAGGTTACTCTTTTAAAGCACACTCACTGCCTCTCATTTCCTGCCCAAGGCCCAAGGCAGTTGCTTTGCTGTCTGGTCCAAGCCACACCCAGTTCATAAGCTGCTCCTTCTTTGATCTCTGCTGCTCCTTCTTTGATCTCTGCCTGAGCCCTCAGCCTGTTCTGCTGGCATCCCTAAGACTGTCTCCACAGAAAGCTACTGTGTGCAGCTTTGCTGATCACAGCTTTCCAAGTGCACAAGCAAAACAAGCTGGGGTTGAGAAAGTACCTCAGTGCTGGAATGAGCCAGGGCTGTCGCTCTTTTTAAGAGGGATGAGCTATTTCCAATTCCTTGAGGCAATGTTAAGCAGAAAGGACCACAGCACAGGCTGAGGCAGGCCTCACACAGACCTACCTGCCAGGTGGGCTGGGGCCTCCCATGAGAACTGGGGCAGAACCCAACTCTGCCTACCTTGAGAATTCTCGAGGCCATGAGATCTGAATTCCCATTTCTCAGAAAAGACACCCGCCACACCTCACCTACTCGTTAATTAACGAGTAGGCAGGCTGGTGCGTGTACTGCTCTCCCTATCATTCTACCCAGTGTCCCAGGCAGTACAGAGCACCGCCCGATAGAAAGAACCTTCTCGACCCACACGGGGCTGACACAGGTGCTTTTGAGACGCAGCCAACAACTTCGCCCAGGGCTCATGTCAACTGACCAGCAAGCCCTACCCACCTGAGTTCACATTCAAGCTCGTCTACTCTGAGACCCTCCGTCCCAAATGCCACCTGTGTAGAAGACTGGTCCAAAGCCAGGCCACATGTTCAGGTGAGAGAAAAGAGGACCGGGGCAGGACAGTTGCTCTCCCCTGCCCACACTGTTCCTGTGAGTCGTCTACAAGGCATGGCGCAGCCGTGTTCATGGGACGGCTGAGTGCAGGGAGTGCTGTCTAGATCCAGCAGCACTGGGAAAGCCTGGAAGCTGGTCTAGATTTGAGGCAGCGATCAGTGGTTCGTGGCTGAATCCTCTTGATAGACGGGATCTACTTGGGCCTTACCAGTCTTTTAAAGACAGAGGAATTGGTTGCTGAAGTTCTGTTTTATAAGAGCAAAAGCAAGCAACTAAGTGACCAAAGAGGAAAAAGGGGAGGGGACTGGCTTGCTTTCTTTTAAATCGAAAACCTGGCCACCCTGGTCCAAGTTGCATACTCTTCAGTCTGTGGGGACCTCCCAACCCGCTTCACCATTGCCTGCAGGCTATGTGGCCATTTGGGCTCCACCATCTAGGGTCTGCAGTTACTCAAAGCGCTTGGCTGGCTCTTCCCAGCTTGTGCCAGTCCCTAAAACCCCCATCCTCCTGCTCCAGTGAACGAGTTCCCCTGCTGAGCCACTGCCCACGAGCACTGTGGCCTCTGCTTTTCAAATGTTTAACAGGAACTTGAACTTGAGACAACAGGATTTTCATTTCCTGGCCAGTCAGGAACCAGGGTCTGGAGGTCACTCTAGTTATAGAACCAGGGTGTAAGAGCAGCATGCCATTAACACACTGCTAATTAGTTACAGAATCTAATTGTATCAGGAACCACATGATGCTGCCTGGAATGGCATCTCAGCAAACACTAACACCGTGTGCTGGTCTGACACACAGAAACCCCACTCAGAGAGGGTGTCCTTCTCCTCACCGTATATATACATCCTTATGTTTCCAAGCCCAGAAGACAACAATCTTGACTCATCGACTCAAGAGAAAAAGTGGGTTCAGCAAGAGATGTATGGCCAACACGGTCACACACACAATCAGACTGGGGTGGCGTTTCCCTTCAGGCTGTAGGGCCTGCTGCTTCCTCAAAAGGCTCACTTGGGCAACGACGCCCTACCTCTGGGAGCCCCACAAGCCAGGTGCACTCTGGTCGAGGTCAACGACAACTGCAGCCTGAGCCCTGACCTTGTTTCCATGAAGCGCAGGATGTCCTCAGGTCTCAGGCACTTCTCTTGCCGGTAGTACGCATGTGGCAGGAACTGAAACCGCAGCTCATATACCTGGAACTTGTTCTGCTTTTCTCCCATATAGAAGGACTCCTGGACGTCAATTTTCTCTAACACCTAGAGCCAGATGGACAGAGAAAACCTAACTTTGCTCAGGTCGCAGGTCACCGTGCACTACACGTGGGTATGAGTATCCCAAGGCTTTGGGAGACAGCCGCTGGGCCACAGGCCAAAACCCCGAAGAAACCCCCATGAGCTGTGCATGTGTGGATCCCTTGGGGAATCCACGGCCTGTAGTCACCTCCAGAGAACGGTCTGCACCCACTAGGATGGGCTTCAGCAAAGCAGGTAAGCTAAGCCAGGAAGCACTCTATTTTACATTTTAGGCCCATGAGGATGCGGTCAAGGTGATCACGATCTTAAAAGATTCTTGATTCATCCCTGCTCAGCACCTGGCAGAGACAGCTTATCTGTCATTGCTGGGAATCCGAGCCCAGAGGCTGGACAGCCAGCGAAGTCTGTTCTTCACGGATGGGGAGGCTACAGGAACACCCTCCCGCTCTAGTCTGCAGCCCGAGGACCAGAGAGATAGCTACCTCCCCTAAGCACACCCTGGTGAGCTGCTTCTTCAGGATTTTTACTCTCTTCAGGGCTTTCTTGGTGTTGAGCACAGGCACACTCATCATGGGCGTCTTGATGTTGGCACTGGCTGCCATGAGAATCTCCCTCAACCTGTCACAGAACAAAGGCGCATCTGGTCACAGGCAGCCACCAGCCCCATTTGTGTGAAACTTTTTCTAAAGGTGTCAGAGTTCTTCTGGGATCTCACAGGGGCATGGGCTGGACCAGAGTCCCAGGTCTGGACCCATTTGTGACAGTGAGGGACTCTGCCTCCTTGAGGGCAAGGCTGTGTCTCATTCTTGTTTCCTGTCACCTGTGCCTTGCAAACAGTAGGTGCTTACTTAAGCACTTAATTGAATGAATGAGTGGCTCAGGCAAGGCAATAGCACCCGCAGTGCTCCTACTGAGCTGTGCCCATGAGCTCATCCATCCCTCAAGCACGACTGTGAGTTGGGGCCAGGTTGCCTGCGTTCCCCAGGAGGGCACCCCGAGGTCTGAGGAGTGTGGAAGCTGTCCAGAGTCTGTCTGCTAGAAAGTGGCAGGGCCAGGACCGAACGCAGGTGAGTCTGACTTCATCCAGTCCTCTCGCCAGAGGCCATCAGTGAGTGCAGGCATTTATCTGAAGGGCCATGGCCACGTGGGTCACGTTCTGTGGGAACGATGCCCCGAAGCTGGGCAATCTAGTGCCCCGTGTGCAGTCTCACAAGCATACCCATAACTGATGCAGGAGTTGGCACAGGGAGAAGCAGTCATCCCCAAAAACCCAGTTGCCGATGGGGTCAAATAAACCGCTCGGGCTCCAGAAGTCTCTCGCTCACCCTATCCCTCTCATTAAATGACTCTCTCCCCAGCAGAGGGCTACAACAGGCCCCACCCTGTGCACCCTTGCACCCTGTACCTTGGAATGCCCAGGGTGACGTTCATCTCGCCTCTGCCTGCAAAGTGGAAGGTGTTCAGGGTCATCTGTGTTGAGGGCTCTCCGATGCTCTGGGCGGCCAGCAGGCCCACAGCCTCGCCCGGCTCACACAGTGAGCGCTGCCACTTCAGCTGCAGCAAGGTCCTCAACCTGGAGACAGCAGGGGGAGGCAGGGCTCGGGAACAGACACCACAGACAGCCAATGCCACCCGAAACCAGAAACCCCAAACCCCTGCCTCTTTCTGGACTTGCTTTTCCTAGGCAAATGATCCCTCTAACCTTCAAACTCTCACCAGTGACCCTGAGATGTCCGGAAGCTAGGCAGCACAGAGCCCAGCTGGCAGCTACAGCTCTAAGTGTTCACGCTTCGACTGTTCATGACAACCCAAGATGTCATGTGTCTACTATGTGCCCATTACATACCCCAAAGCAGTGAGACTTTCTGGGCTCATTATTTTCATTTTCCTTTGCTCTTTTCCCCACTAATTAGGACAGTTTGGAGAGGGCTTAAGCCTTCTGCTACACAAATTAGAAAGAGGTTCACTAAGCAGTTATGGGGGTAGGGGAAGGAATGTTCATTTTCTTAATTAGGTCAAATGGCTGTAGAACACTTCATAAATATCAACACTGCAAGGGCCGGGTATGCCCAGTGCCTTGGGAGAATGAGGTGAGAGGATTGCTTGAGGTCAGGAGTTTGAGATCAGCTTGGGCAACACAGTGAGACACCATCTCTCCAAAAAATACAAAAATATTAGTCACGTGTGCACCAGCGTGCCTACAGTCATAGCTACTCAGGAGGCAGGAGGATCACTTGAGCACAGGAATTTGAGGCTACAGTGAGCCATGATTGTACCACTGCACTCCAGCGTGGGTGCAGAGCAAGACTGTCTCAAAGGGTTTCGGAAAAAAAGCATCCAAACTGCACAATTCTGCAACCTACTAACTGTTCTTCCCATGAAAGCCCCCACTTAAGAAACAGCCACTGGGAACACTGTATCACCCCAGCACAGAGAACAAAAAAGGGACTGAATGTGGACATGCGTGAATAAATAGAACAGTAGGTAGCACCAGAGAGGTAAGTAATAAAGCCGTGCTTGTATGTAGGTTACATTTAGAAGCCAAACTTTTGCTAACCCATCCATCTTCTTTCTCAACTACTTTAAACCAATGAGGTTTGAGTGCCTGTCAGTATTCCCAGAGGGAAAAAAACCTTCACCTGCTCTAGAACTTCAGAATCCACCCAGAGTTTGCTGCTTACTGACATATATCCTGCGAAAACAGTCCAGCCAGAACTGCCTCTCCCCTCAGTCCGACGACAGGGGCACCTCTCTGCACCCCGGAACACAGCTGGAGGGAGAACCAGCTTGGTCCTTCTGGATGTCAGTGCAGCCTCCCAAGCTGCAGGGATGCAGGTGATGGCGGTGGGTCAGTACCCTGCTCTTTCAAGGAAAGCCTGGCTGGCAGCTGGGAGAACCTGGCTGGAAAACCACTTGGAAGGGCAAAAAGGGGTGTCCTGCCCCTCCCCCCCTCCAGGGCCTGTCTGTGCTCATCTACCCTTGTTGCCCCCTTTTCTCAGTTATCAGGCCTACTCCCCAGACCCTCCGTCAGTATCACCAGGCCTCGCCAGGGGCAGGACAAGCGGCAGGCTAGGGCAAATGCTCTTGTGGTCTTCCAGCTCTGCAGGCCACATTCAGGGAGCTCAGCCAGAAGGGTCCACGACTGATGCCCAAGTAGGCGTTCCTGGCTTCCCACCCACCGAGGCCAGATCTGTGTGTGCATGCGTGTGTTCAAGCTGAGGCCTTCCCATGGTGTGTGTGTGTGTGTGTGTGTCCAAGCTGAGGCCTTCCAGTGGTATGTGTGTGTCTAAACTGAGGCCACTGTGATGTGTGTGTTGAAGCTGAGGGCTTCCCGTGTTGTGTGTGTGTCCAAGCTGAGGCCAACTCATGGTATGTGTCCAAGTCGAAGTCTTCCAGTGGTGTGTGTGTGTCCAAGCTGAGGCCTTCCCATAGTGTGTGTATTGAAGCTCAGGCCTTGCCATAGTGTGTATGTATCCAAGTTGATGCCTTCCTGTGGTGTGTGTGTTTTTATGTCCAAGCTGAGGTATTCCCGTGGTGTATATGTGTGTCCAAGCTGAGGCCTTCCCATGGTGCACCTCCAATTTGAGGCTTTCCCGTGATAAGTGTGTATGTTTGTCCAAGATGAGGCTTTCCCATGGCGTGTGTATGTGTCCCAGGTAAGGCTTTCCCACGGTGTGTGTGTGTGTATGTGTGTGTGTGTGTGTGTGTGTGT